AAGACTATCCTACCAGGTGTCAAAATACATTGTAAAGTGGTATTGGCATATGGGTAAGTAGACAGAAATATATATGGGAAATTAGTATATAACAAAAGTTGGTAGTTTGAATCAGTAGAGAAAAGGCAGCTTAAGTCAATAAATGATACTAAAATGTGTAGACCTCTGAAAAAATATGTATATACTGAGATTCCAATGGACCCAAAGTTTGAAAGAAAAAATCTCATAAGAGTACTAAAAGAAAAAATAGAATATACCTTAAAAATAAATTCAGAATAGTAAAGCCTTTTCTACTTATAATAAAAAACTGGGAAACCATAAAATAATATATTGATAACTTTCACTACCAAAAAAATTTTGTGTGTCTTGTATAATAATATTATATACACTTGTATAATAATATACATGAATTAAAAACAATGAACTGGAAAAAACTTGTGCAACTCATTCACTGGTTAAAGATACATTCTCTTTAGATGTGCGAAGAACTTGTACAAATCACTGTGCAAATACTAATCACATGTAAGATGTCCAAAATGTATAAAGCATTTCACCAAAAAAAATAAAATAAAATGAAACTATCTTTTAACCATATAAAAAGGTACTCAACTCCGTTCATAAAAAGGGAAATGAAAATTTAAACTAAAATGTGGTACAACTGCTCAATTATCAAACTGGAAAAGATGAAAACATTTGACAGTACCTGCATTGGCTGTGATGTAAGGAAGTGAGTTCTCTCATGCATCACTGGTGAGGATGTAACTTGGTACTATCTTCTTAGATCAAGATTTTAAATCGCATGCCCTTTGGCCCAGAAACTTTGCTTCTAGGAATTTATCTTACAGTTATATTCACAAATACATGAAATGAACTCACAATCATTCATTACAACATTGTAGGAAAGGAAAGCTTAGAAATAACCTAAATCTTTGTCTATGGGGAACTTATTAGCCTTCTGCCACAGCGCGTTTTTCATTTTCCGTCTTACCACTCACATCCACATTACATGGCACACTTATTCTACCCCTCAGGGTTCTGAACAGTACCAGGTTTCCAGGCTTGTAGGAAATCAGGAGAAGAGAGCGATGCTGCTGAAGGTAGAACCAGTGACAATGGGCAGCTGTTGGCTTGATGACGAAAAGACAGATAAACTACAGAAACAACCAAAGAACTTCAAAACTCCCACAAATCTGTAACACCATACAAGATTTGAATTTTTCTTCTTTTCTTCCTGTAAAATCTTTACAAGTTTTTAAAACCTCCTGACATGGAAATTTATCTTTATTTAGGAAACTACTCAAATGGCCCACTCTTCATTCTACTCAAACAGCCCATCAGAGACTCATTCCTGAGCTTTGATCTGTCACAGTGATGGACCCTGTCATCTCTTCTCCTGTGGCCACACCACTACCCCTTCTCTCTCAGGGCTCTCTCCTCATGTGTGAGGCTGGCATCCAGGGCCCCCTCCCCTTGGGATGCCCTGTCTCCACTATGCTGACGGCACTCCTGGTAGCCCCCAGGCTCTGCCCTCCTTTTCTGTCTTCTTCCTGGAGTCCCTCTCTCCTGGTGCTGCAGCCTGCTCCTGTGGCTTCACATGTCATTTGCAATGCACACATATCCCCAAATCCAAAGCACCCTCTCTCTGTGAATTTTACCTCTAATTTTAGTTTTCAATTAAAGACTGTTTTTAACCCAATCTTTAAAGTGCCTTGCAAATGCTCTTCCTCTACATGAAGGCTTCCATATTTTCACTGGTGGGGTTGTGGCAGCCCACCTCCCAATCCCTGCCCATGCTTTCTTATGGGTGTAATACTAACCCTTGGGGGTCAAAAATGGGTTCTTGGAAGAGGAAGCAAAAAAACTGATTCCTTTAATGTGTAAGCACAGGCTGCATACCCCTCAGAGTATGTATATCAACAAATATATAGTATATCTGTAATGTCAAAGTCTCCTGGGGGCAGGGAAATTACGAAAAAAAATTCTTGAAATGCTCCTTATGAATGGGTGAGCATGAAAAGAAAGTTTGGAAACATTACTCTTGACATTTGCACCAAGATGTCAAGGAGACATGCCAAGTCCAGCTTGTTCAAAACCTAATGAGCTCCCCTCCTTCATCTCACTCCTGATTCCCCAACCCACACCTCCCATACCATCATGACAGTTAATGCCATGGTCAGTCAGCCAGTGCCAATACCAGGTCATCAGTGATAGTTGGTGTACTTCCTGTCCTCACATTCTATATCTAATCATAGTGTATTATTAGTCCCTTTTCACACTGCTGATACATACCTGAAACTTAGTAATTTATGAAGAAAAATAGGTTTAATGGACTTACACACAGTTCCACTTGGCTGGGGAGACCTCACAATCATGGCTGAAGGTGAAAGGCACATCTTACATGGTGGCCAACAAAGAGACAATGAGAGCCAAGCGAAAGGGTTTCCCCTTGTAAAACCATCAGATCTCATGAGACCTATTCACTACCACAAGAACAGTGAGGGGGAAACCGTCCCCATGATTCACTTGTCTCCCTCTTGGTCCCTCCCACAACACATGGGAATTTTGGGAGCTGCAATTCAAGATGAGATTTGGGTGGGGACACAGCCAAACCATAACACATACTAAGCCCTCCAGGTTGTACTGCCACCATCTCTCTTGCATCTGTCCCTTGCACCATGCCAGCCACCTGCCTGAGTTTAGGGACAGGTCACCTCTTGCCAGGAGCACTGCAATGGACTTCCAAACTATTTTCACAACTTCCCCACTCCAATCTATCTGTCATTCTGCCACTAGAGATAACTGTCTAGATCACAAACTCATGATTTGATGTTCATGTATTTGAAGTTTGATTTCAGTTTGCTTCAAATAGAAAGTCTCTAGAATAAAAGACATCAGCATTTTTTCAGATCCCTTTCCTGTACTCCTCTACAGTCATGCTCTATACTGCCACAATTGACTGCTGTGCCTTCCCTGGAATTCATTCTATGTGTTCATATCTGTCTCTTTTTGTATCAAATCTCAGAATTTCTTTTTCCAGTCTTTTCACCTGAACTCCTATTCCTACCTCAAGGCCCACTCAAATGTTCCATTTCTGTTGAGGTTCACCTCATGTGATTCCTGGAAGAAACACTTGCTGCTTTCTTTCTGCTTCTGCAGTGCAACACACATGTTTATATAACAGGGAATGGGCCACACTGCTTTTCAGTTGACCCCTTTCCTATGTGAATTTGAAGGAGAAGGATACTTACCAAATCGACACAGTTTTTGAGAAAAATACTCCTACATGCAAAGTGTTGTGCTGGACATTGAAACAGCAGATGTGAATAAAGAAGGCTTGCCTTCATGAAGTTTAAAATCTGGTGGGAAAGACAGGTATTCAGCAAGTTAGTTTAACAAATAATCATTTAAATACTGCTGTGAAAAGGGCTACAGTGGAAAAATACGGGATGCTATGAAAGAAAAAACAGAAATCCACCTTCCCCCAAAGGGGCTGACAGAGCTTCTCTGGAGAAAAGACCTTTAACCTAAGACCAGAATGAGTTAGCTGGTGAAGAATATATTCCAGGGTGAATATATTTCAGGCAGAGGGAATGGCACTTGAGGATACGTTATGATGAGACAGAGCCTGAGATCACTGAAGGCCAGAAGTAACAAAACAAACAAACCAATATACAAACAAAAAGTGGGTGTCCAGGCAGTAGGAGAGGGGCGTGGCATGACACCACCGAATGGATTTATGACGAAAAGAGTCACTCGCTGAATCTGAAAGGGATCTTCATCTCTCACTCCTGGTGCCACATGGATAGACCACTGACCTGGGTCCATGTGACAGTGTTTTTGTCCTTTTGCTCGTATTGCCTGAAATATAGGTTCAGAAATATTATTTTCTATGACCAAAAAAAAAAAGTGCCACAAATTCTGATAGAATTGGATGATTCATGCACAACACCTTCTAGAAATATTCCAATTTCATTATGTGCTATTTTGAGACCCCACTTCTTACACAAGTGTCTAACAGCCATGCAAGGTGTGATTTTTCAGGGTATCATCTTGATGCATGGTAACACGGCCCCAAAACGAATAAGAGCATTTTACTGTACCTGAAACTCTGGGTCAAGTCATATGGATATGAATGTGGAGCAAAACAGTATGGAAACAATATGTTCAGTTTTATGACTGGTAACTCATTGGCTCATGGACAGCTTTCTCTTGGCTTCTTTGGGAGTAGTTTTCCTGCTGCATGGCACATATTTGAGGGGCACTGGAAGTCCCACAGTTTTTCCACACTACAGTATTCTGAGTGTAGCAAGTAGAGATGGAATGGAGAGTGGGTTTGTCAAAACAAGCCAGCCCCACATTGAAAAAGTCACGTGTGCATGGTGCTATCCACAAACATGAGTCACCCAGGGAGGTATGTAGATGCTTGTGACAAGAGAGGAGAGGCCTAAAAATAACAGTTCTACTGAAGGGTGGAGCTACAGGCTGGTGTTGTGTCATGCTTGGCTGCTGTTTCTGAAAATTCCTCCAGTTAAAGTAGCAAGTGGGATGACCACTGCAGATACCTGCTCTCAGCGGAGAAGTGTAGCAGGTATCCGTTGAGGGAGGGATTTCAGGGTCATGAAAGCCTCCTTATTACTTATTCTGTGAAGCTGATGCCTAAAAATCCATACAAGAACCCCGCATCTTTAGTTAAAGACTTTGATGTCCAATCAATCAGAAGCACAGCACATTAGGCTATTCTCAGCGACATATTTGAAGGTTGCTGGAGCTATAAGGATGCTCAGAGTGTCTTCTTTTACTTTCTTTTAACTTCCTCCTTTTGTTCCATATACTCCATGAGGGCAAGGACCTTGTTTGTCCTGTTTCAGTGTCTAGCACAGAGTAGGAGCTAAATAAATATTTGCTTAAGGAAAAATGGAAGGAATGTGTCTAGCCCAGCCCTCTTAGTTTGCAGGCAAGGATACTGAGCAGGGAGCAGAAATTCACCCAGGGTCATGCAACCAATCAGCAGGGGTAGGAGGGAAGCCAGCCTCTGACTCTCCTCCCAGTGTTCTCACCTCTCCAGCAAGCTAGCAGTGCTTCAGTGTGGTTAGAAGTGTCTTGTTGAGGACAAAGAAGACCAAACACATGGTCTCTGGCTACTGGGCTGAGGAAGACACTATGAGGCAGGAGTTCTGAGGGGGTCAAAAGATAGTGAACTTCACCGGGAGGAGGTGCAGACAAGGCTTGCCACTGGAGACTGCTGAGCAAAGTTTCAAGGGCACAGGATGCTCCTGTCTTAGCCAGTTATATTTGTCTAAATTTGTTTTTTATAAAACCTAGGAGAAAAGCACAAGCTCTTGGAGGAGGAGGGGCTCATGGCTTGTGGTCTGCTCAGGACCACAGACCTCACCTTATGCAGACAGCTCTATGGTCATTAATACTGATGGCATGTGCGCCTTTTTGTGTTTTATTTTTTTCTTTTAATAATCAGACAATAGTTTACCTCTGTGCACTGGCGAGGAGCCATGAAGCACAGCATCCAAAGATGGAAGAAGCCAGACTGGCACGTGGGCTGGCTGGAAAGGAAAAGAGGAGCCAGACATGGTACTTTGTCTTCAGCCTCTGTGGATGAAAGTGCTTACAGTTTACTGTAGGGAGAAGGGAGGGGAGGGAAAGGTCTTGAAGGATTCCCAGTGGATATAAACAATGGCCATTTTTAAAGCCAGTTTGCATTGAGTCTCACACTGTCATGTCTTAAAACTCTTCAGAAGTGCGAGGCTTCTGAGAGAGTGAGGCGGTCTCAGGGGCAGAAGGAGGAGGCTGCGGTGGGAGCGGGGTGTAGGGAGAGGCATGAAGGACCCTTCTGCCCCATTCCTCAATGGTGGCCCCACATTCCCCAAGCACCTAATAAGGAAGCAAAGCCCTACCTGGCTAGAGGTCCATGTTCCAGAATGGATGGGTTCTACCTCCATGCCCAGTGGGATACCCAGGCTTTGACTTTGGGTCACTAAAGATTGTTCCTAGACAAGGGTCCTAGCTCACAAGTCTGGGGGCAGCTTGGGACTTTGTTTACGCCAGGTTTACCAGCTTGGTGTGAGAATAGCATCAGATATTGCTTATAGCGATGCCTCTTTTCCAAAGGGGCTACATTCCAAGACCCTCAGTGGATGCCTGAACCTGGAGTACTACTGACCCTCCGTATTCATCTTTTTCCACTTGAGAACTGAGATGAATACTAAGCATCTAAGGGTGGAGAGTGTCCACAGTGTGGATATTCTAGACAAAGGTATGATTCACCACCTGGTCAGGATGGTGAGAGATTTCATCATGCTGCTCAGAATGGAATGTAATTTAAAATTTATGGATTGTTTATTTCTGGAATTTTTCATTTAATATTTTTGGACCATGGATGACTGAAGATAACTGCAACCTAGGAAAGTGAAATTACAGATAAGGGAGACTACTATACCGGTTTACGTTGAATCAGTCTTCCTACTATGGCTCGAACGTTTGTGTCCCTTCCGAAATTCATGTTGAAATGTTATCCCCAAGACAACCGTGTTAAGAGGTGGGCCCTTTAGGAGGTGACTAGGCCATCAGGGATCAGCCCTTACAGATGGGATTAGTGCCTTATAAAAGGGCTGGAGAAAATCAGCTAGGCCCCTTTTGCCCTTCCATCTCTTTCACCAGGTGAGGACACAGCAACAAGATGCCATCTTGGAAGCAGAGAGCAGCCCTCACAAGACACAGGATCTGCCAGCACTTCAGTCTTGGACTTCCCAGCTTCCAGAACTGTGGGAAATAAATTTCTGTTGTTTATAAATTAGTCTGTGGTATTTTGCTGCAACAGCATGAACAGACTAAGACACCACCCCAGTCTGTGTACTTGGGCATAGAATTAACAATTATTTGATTCTCAATCCTTGCCACACAGTTGCTGCCAGGGGACAGGGATAGGATGGTGTTAGCGATTCCACACTGTCTTTTCTTCTCTCTTTGGTGCTTTTTTCCTTGCTATGATGTTAAACACAGTTACTGTGATTGCTCACCTGACTTTTGGTTCTTATGGAGGTGTTTTCTTGCTGGATGGTGCTTCAACTGGGTGTTCCTTTGGCCAGGGTTGGGTGGGAACCAGTAGCTTTGATCAAGCTATTGCGTGGAAAAACCCACAGGGATCAACTTATTTCATGTTATAGCCAGAGTAGGTTCTAGAATCTAGTGCTCAAGCAGCTTGTAGGATTTCAATTTAGAGGTTAGGGAAGCTCCATCAGCTGAAGTGGGGTGAGGCTGGTTAAGGAATAGAAATAAAATGAAAGTAGTTCAGATCATTTCTCACTTTTTAAATTTTTAATTAAAACAAATGAACAATATTCAGGTTATCAAGGATGTGATAGAGTCTGAGAGGCATATTTATTTTGAATCCGGGTTGTAAAGAACAGACATCCAAACCAACAGAACTCCCACACACACTTCAGGAATGCAGAGAGCTTTTTTTTTTTTTTAATTTTACTAAGAACATTTTCTAAACATATACTGAATAAGGTTGTACTTGATAGTCCTGGTAATGGTAATAATGACTGAGAAAAAGTAAAGGAAGCAGAAAAAATTAAGGCAATCCTGACAGCAATTCAGATGGGCAACCTACATAAATTAGTCAGTTTCCTTATCAGAGATTTACATGTTAAACCACTTGATATAACCCAGCAGGAAATCAAACAAGTGATTCTATGTCCAGACTTGGAAACAAAAACAACCACTCAGGGTCTGCACACATTAGCTCGTTCAAACTTGCGCTGATAAAAGTCTTTTTGGCTAGAGCTGTAGTATGCAGTTTTAAGAGGGGAGAGTTTGGTTGGAGGATGATTGACACAGAAACAATTGCAAATGCATAATACAGGAAAACAGATTGGATGTCAGTTTCAACGAGTACCTGGAAGCCACTGAGATGATGCAGAAGCAGAGGGTGAGATGCTGCACAGGACTTAGCATTGTTCGCCCCATCCGCTCTGTAAAACACATCCAATCTCCTAGGCGGACTGACATCCTACATCTGACTCACTCACACAAAGATATTTCACATTCTCATTTTAAATTTGTACCCATTCCAGTGTTCCTTAGTGTTTCCCAGAGAATAAGAATGGTTTTGAAATTTGTGACTTGTCACTTTGGGGACAAACAGACACTGTCTGTCAAACTCTTCAGGCCAAGACCCCAAGGTTCCCCCAGCAGCCCTCAGACGCCTGTCCAAACAGCCTCTCTCGGGTCTCCAAGAGTTCCCGTGCATACCACATGCATGTTCTATTTATATGTTTCTTTGTCCTGAACAAGATTTGGCCCCATTGTGTGGGAGCAACACCAGAAAAGAAAAACAAAATCCATCCACTGAGAGAAAATGGAGCTTGTGAGAGCTTGGAGAAATTTACATACTTTGCTCATTTCATTTTCCTGTGATGTCAGAGTCAAAGAATATGCCTTTTTTAAAGAAAAAATCACACACACATACACATTTCAAAATGCTGGGACTCACAGCTCTGTCAAGTAGATTGTCATTAAAAGGAGAAATGTAAACACTCCTTTGCTTGTACCTCCACCCCCTTCTATTTCCCCCATCAGCCCCTAAAAAAAACTAACGAATTAGTCCAGACTCCACTGGACAGAATTAAGGGCCTGTCTGCAAAAGGGCAAGGGGTATTAATGGAGATGCCGGGGCTGGGGCCGGGGCCAGGGCTGGGCGGGGACAGTGTGGAAGTGGGAGGCCGGAATGTGGTACTTGAATCTGGGTGACCAGCTCTGGCATTTTATGGAGGCACAGAAAAGGGCCGGCTGACACTTTACGGATTGGGTGTAACATTCAGGGAATTTGGCATTTCTGCCACGGGGCTCTGGCTGCCCTGCTAACTGCTTTCCTTCTCCCTGCTGGTAAAAGTGCAAGAGAAAAGGGTTAAATAAATGTTTGTGATATGATAAGGTGCTTGTTTATTCAAGGAATGACAGATTATTGGCTCCAAAGGCAGTCCTGAAAAATAGTACAAAGGAACTGGCTCTGCCCTCGCAGATGATGTGATTTCCTCCTGAGATTCTGCTCTTTCCTAGGAACAATTTGCCCTGGGAATTAAGAAGGATGATTTCCCTGCCATCGGAGACAAACGTGCAGTTGGCGCTGAGGGCTGTAGCCCTAGAAGCTGGCTGGGAACTGGGATGGGCTTGTCTTGGGGAATGACTTTCCTGCAGGGATTTTTCCTCTCACTGCCCTTGGCCTGGCCCTGCACAGAGCTCAGCTTCCAGCATCCACGAGCCGTGCTCACTACCCAGAGAGGCTGCAGGGCAGCAGCCTGTTGCTACTTCCCAGAGCCTGGGAAAAGAAGTTACTCACTCAAGAGGGGGACTTCCTTCTCAGGAAATCCTGGTGCCAGGTCTGCCTGTAGCGCCAGACTGCTGTGTTCATCCCATGACCGTTCCCACATGGAATGGACGCATGTGCCCAGGATGGCATGCACATCTGTCCATTTCTAACCAACACACGCAGCACCCCATGAGCTCTGGCCTGTTGTCCTCTAGTGATTTCATGGCCAGTCCTGGGGGAGAATTCAGTTCCAGATCCCCAGACAATGAGGCTTTCACCTAAAGTCTGTGCACTTTTCTGAAAATCATGGAGAGCTGTCTGAGGGGGCCTGGGGCCAGCAAGCCTAGAAGAGCTGTGACACCTTACTGTGCCCTATGAGTTGTTCTGTCCATGTCCAGCTTCCAGATGCTGCTCTGAGCTGGCTCCTTCCTGTAGAGCAAGGGTTCTGAGCCCAGTATACTTCGGCCACAACTCTTCCTCTCCCGTCTCCTGGTCCTGCTTCTGGCATGCCATAGAGAGGTCATTCACGTACTTGCCGACTAGAAGGGTTCATATAAAATGTTTGGCATTGTTCTCTTTTGAAAAGAACACATTGCCAAAATCAAACACTAAGGGAAAAATAAGATGTGGTTTAACGGCTGTTTTTCCAGCATCATAGAAACTACTGTATGATTTTCACAATGGCCCAGTCACCTTATCAGCTGATGTGCTGCTCCTTTGCAAGACATAAGGCATCAGCCTGGGGAACCCAGTGCCCTTCAGACACAGTGACTCAGGTTTGAGCCGACGGCAGGGATGTTATCGAAGGTCCATGGTTGGGCTATTTTTATGATTGCATTCAGTACTAATAGGGCTGTGGAGTGTACACAGCCATGTGCTCATTCTTGAACTACACAAGATAAGATCCTTGTCCCAAAGAGCTTACTGCCTGACTTTTGCAAAAACCAGATGGCAGAAAATGGTTTCCCTCTGCCTATCAGCAATGATTGAGGGGGTGGAGATGAGAAGTGGCGCAGTCAATTCATAACTCTCCCGGGTGGGACCTCTGCTTTCACATTTATCCCATGTGATGTTTTAATCATCAACTACCCTTCCGCCGCATCTCCAGGCAGCTCTGAGCATTGAAGCTTATTTGAATATCAGCTTAATTAAAGCATCATTAGATCATAAAGCACCATACACAGACACACACATTATGCACATACACATTTGCAAAAATATCATGGATTTTGAAGTTTGCCATAAGTGACTTTTGGATTGCCAGTGGGGACATGAGGAAGGAATTGAAAATTGTACCTACCGTGGTTGGTCATATCTGAATCATATGCTTTGATGCTGGATTAGGAAGTGTCAGCTGCGATGCCCTAGTGCATCGACTGGGTCTGCCTGGTTCTGCCTGGTTCTGCCTCGGCTGGGAAATGTCCAGCAGAGCACTGGAAGAGGTCCCCAGAACCTGCACATCAGCACCACTGGCCCCAGAGGAGCTTCTCGGGACATAGGCATGGCAGCAACCTTATTTCAGGATAGCCCCCTAATTCTTCAAGCCATTTGCAACTGCATGGGCTTATTTGAAGGCCAAAATTCTATTTTTTATGACCCGTGAAGAATCTTGCCAAAGGTGTACACACTGGTTAAACCCTGGATGAGACAAGCATATTTACTCAGCACTTGCTTTGCCTTCATCTGGGCTCTCTGAAAGCAGACTCTTAGGCTGGGATTTGAGTGGCAGCACCAGCCGGGGAGTCGGGAGAGAAGCTAACGTAAGGTGTGGTGCACTAGCGTGGTGTAGCAGTGAAGGTCACTGCTATGAGCAGCTGAGGCTCCATCCCGCAGGGGACATCTGGGAGACGGTGTAGGACACATCCAGCTCTCTCCCTAGT